TCTGGCTATCATTGCCCCATTTCCATATTGAGTTTTTGCCTTGTCCTTTTCCCCTTAATTTATCACGATTTACCCCATGTGATGTCTTGCTCCTGTTGTTTAGTATAAAACTCTCCTGACTACCCTAGTTCTACAATCCACCAGAACATTGCCCCTAACACAGTTTAGGTGAAGACTATCAGAACAGTTTTGATTCCACTTTCAGCAGTCCTGCTGTCAATGCCCCATGAATTGATTGCATTTTTCCTGCACCAATTTTTCAGACACATCCTTAACTCTCTCTAATCTTATCAACCCTATATGATTATGTTGATGGTTCAACTTTGAGAGTCTGCTTTTTAATTTAGACCTCAGCTGCTCGTACTCCCTAAGCAGAACCTCTTTCCTATTTTGCCTGTTGTTGTTAGCTACGTGGACCCTGATAACCAGATCCTCCCTCTCAAATTGAAAAGTTACCCTCCAGCCCTGAGCAAATGTCCTTCTCGCATTCCATATTTGTAATGTACTGCACAGCTGGAAATATGTCTTAACTGTTGTCAGTTTATTAAGACCTAAAAATACAAGCAATCTGTCCTTAATAATTTGCACTCTTGTTAAATTGCTTCATGGGGGACTTCACCTCCCCATAGACACTCAAAGTAGAATAATTCAAAGAAGGAAAGTAATCAAGGTAGTGATCGTGAAATTCCTTTTTTACCAGTGTGTGTATGGATTTTCAATTCGATTTAGCTTTAAGGAGATGAAATATTTTGCAAAGTTTTGGAAATGAAGCAAGTCAATGTTTTACTTATCCAGCATATTTACTTGGAACTCAAAACAATAGAATATATTCCAAACCTGCCTCATTAATGTTTCAAAGGTTGCAGATGCCAGCCGTTTACAAAAAGAACACTTTCAATAATATTGGAAGTATTTCTCTGCATGCGGGCAATCCATTTCAGTGCACTAACTGATTCTGCTCGTATGCAGTAAGTGTATGGTTTCCCTAGGCTTTCAATGCATATGTGGTTCATTATCCAAGCAGGGTTAAGATTTGAGTTTTTTTTCGAAAGAACGTCTCTATGGTACACCATGGAATTAATTTATTGCACACATTGAGCCTTGGTTTATACCAAGAACTTAAGCTATTTATGCAACTCCAGTTTGACACATCTTTTTTCCTACATTTAAAAAAAACATAAATGCACTGCTGAAATACTTGACTTTATTTTAGTTATTTCCATTAAGTGTTGCTTTTGAAACATAATTTAATCAACAAACTTGAAGAGGTAAGCATATCTCTGAAACAGATTTTAGATGGTCGCTTTTGGGGATTTTCCTGAAATATGAATTATAAAATTAATGCTGATTTTCAAAGTTGCAAAGTGAAGACATAGTAGAGACATAAAAATATTAATTGGAATTGTGAAAACCTTTGTAAAACTAATTTGTTGCATTTGGTGGAAGATCTCATCTGAAAAGTACAAGAGGAACCTGTCATTTTTATCTCTCTTTAGAACGTTATTTGGCAATTGAGCAATGCTTGTTTAAATCTAATGCAAATATTTTAATATGCCTCTGCTATTCACAAAATTGCCTAGACCATGACTTAATTAACTTCAGGCAGTTGTTTAAAACCTCTTTTCATGTGATGAGTCCATCTTTATATTTTTTTGAGTTTCATAGATGGCAGCTTTGCATATCTTTCCACATCTCCTTTTCTCTGACACTCCTATTTTGTTTTTTTGAACAAGTGCCTGTACAAATCAATTACTTTATTGATACTTCACTGCTGTTCTGTGCAGATGTACACAAATTCAACTGGAATCTGCTATACTGCGGCCTGGTTGCATTAGAGAGAATTGCTAAGGTGTCACCAGATGCAAATGAATTGATGCGGAAAGTAGTGGAGAATAGAGTGGCCATTGTTGGATGGATGATGAGTCATTTGAAAGGAAATGAGAGACAGAGTTGTCCTTAATTCCCCCATCCCCATACATTTTCTTGATTTCTATATATGATGTTGGAAGATGAGTTATGCCTTTTTCCCTTTATGTTACTTCTCTGATGTTAAAATATAGGTATTTGTGCAAATCATGTTTTGCCCAAAACTTAACTGTTAAGAGGTGATATTAACCAGAAAAATTGTAAAATTGGCACTGTTCACTTCTCTGTTCCATAACTTCACGTTAAGTAGTACCAGTAGGTTAGGAGGAGACAAAGAATGCAGCTGAAGTCTAACGTAAATATAAATATTTTTTACTGCCCTTCAACAGTAGTTCAGCTACATCAGAGTTGAATTGAAACCGCATGTGTATATGTGATGTGTTTGGGATATTTGATTATTTTGTATATTTGTGCTGCTGTTACTTTTTGTTTGTGTAATGTCTTACAGACTGGATGTAACATTCTTCCTAATTCTTGTACTCCTTATTCAGCCAAATCAAATGTGTAACCAAGTACATTTTTCCTTATGACTTCATGCAGTCAATGGAAGTTAAAGTATTATGTTAGGAAGATTGCTAACAGCCCACATTAACTTCCAATGGATGGACATACAGTCCGATTATATAGTGGAAACATTACTTTTGAGGCTTATATTTTTCTATTTTTAACTTGCCTACAGATAAACAACAAAGCCAACGTAGTAACCAGTCCAAAAGAACCCATACCTACCCCAGCGCTGGTATATCTTGATTCCTCTTTCTGTATTTACTTTCCATTTCTCTGTTGCTTTTTGAGGTAGTGTGTGATTATCAGTACATACCTTGATCTGTTATGTGGGAAAATCCAATGTGAAACAACATATTCACAGTCGTTTAGTGTGTCTTTGAACCTGGCTGTCACAGTTTGCATGTTGTACTGGCAGACCACTGCCTTCCTGCATGTTGCTTTTAGCTTGTCTACTGATGTCAGCTGCTTAAGACTTAGCAGCACACATCTTTGACTTCAGGGAGCAAAGAAAACTTTTTAGATAGTTTAAGAAATTGCATGCTGCTACTTAGTGATTAGGCCGTTTCCTGCAGGATGTCTAGGCAAGTTACTGGTCGTAGTAGAAACCCATTCTTGTTCTTGATTTTTTTTTATGTGTTTATGATTTGTTTTTTCCACATGGCAGTAAGTAACATTTCTCCCGTCTTACCATTCTAGTAGTTGGCATTTGCACATTTTAATGACTGAAGATAATCTTAACCAATGAGAGTTTTCTTTTATCTTGCTCAGGAGCCCCAAACCACTGTAATCCACAATCCAGCTGATGGAAATAAGGTATTCCAAGATCTGCTCACAGGTTTAAGCATCGCAGAGCTTGTAAAGATTTGTTACGTTAGGTATCCAAGCTGTGACGATTTTAGTTTTGCAACATACAGTATCCTGTGAAGAAATTATAGAATATGCAGCTGGTGTATTCAGCATATCAGGTTTTGCAAAGTTCTTTAGCTTGTCCTTCTTTCCACCTGTGGCTTGGTTTTCTGTTTTTGTTTGAGAACGGGAATGCATGACCATTCAGCAAGCTTCCAGTATTCTTTGTACATTCAACCTACCTCATCTTAGCAAATCTGTAGACGGGCACAAGCATGAAGTATTGTCACCTTCATCTGTGTTATGAGCTGCATGGGATAAAGGACATGCATAACTTTGTGGCTGTTGAAAGATTGTGGTCATTTTGCCTCAGAGGTTATGGGCCCATCTAGTCAATTACAGTGTGTGAAATGGTTTTATCCACAGAACATGTTGCATTTTAAAACTTCTGCTTGGAAGTAATGCCTTGTCATTCTTTTACTCCAAAGTCATTCAGATAAATTTTGTAATTTTTTTTGCATTCTTGAGAAGTCATTTAATGGTTATTCACTTGAACTGAGTCACAAAGTAACGAACTGAGCTACTTACTGAACTGAAGTTGCTTTCTTCCACAGTTAAAATTTTAATGGATTTTGTTTATTTAGAAAGATGCAAGGACAAATATTGCACTTCAGTTTTGTGGGTACACTTGTCATGAATTTACCTATTTTCTAGAGTATAAACTAGAAGAATCATTTGCCTATGTGATGTTTTATCATTTATCAATAGTGCAAAACTATTGTAATTTTGAAACTTTGACAACTAAATGTGATTAAATTACATGTTTCAAGCAAATGGCTTTAATCACCATTATGCTACGTCTGATTCAACATAAGATTTAAAAACGTTACTCAGTTTTAAAATAACTACTAAATGCCTGTTAATATTTAATTTGTTAGTACTTCTGAGTTCCATCAGAGCTCCAGTATTAAAATTCATTTTATTACTACCACACATCAAGAATTTTAAGTTATCTTTTGTCAGTAATTGCATGTTTCATGGTTCTTGTACACCCTCTGGATGGTTTGTTGTGCAGTAGACAATGTTAAACTGCACAGGAAATAGTGTAATTAGCTGTGTATATTTTCAAAGTAAATGCATGATGTATGTGTCGACTCTGATTTTGTTTCATGGTGCAATCTGGTTGGAAAGTGTCACTATCCTCTCAGGATGGGGTGGTATCTATTGTAAGCAACTGAACATTTTCACTGTACTGCTCCGGGTCACTTTTTGGTCTTTATATCTATTTCACATGTATAAATTGCTTCCATATTTTTATTTTTCATCAGTGCTGTGACAGTCTGCAGTATCATAGCTGTATGTTAATGAGCCATGCTACCTTTTGAATGAGGTTTCTTAATGAAAATTGTCTTTGATCTCAAAGAAACTGACCTTAGTTACCAAATTTATTTTACAGAAAGGATCATTCTTTTGTTTTAGACTGTTTGTTGTGGCAGGTATCTGTTGAAATTTCTAAATCGCCATAAAACTGTTTTGAATAACAACCATCCAGTCATAAATGCAACTAAATATTAAATAGTAAAAGGTTATCTACATCTCATGCTTATTGCATCCATGTTCTTCACTTCAGTCTTTGCATTGGGTGTGAGTTTATTCTTCAAAGACTGCATGCAAATAAAGTCGCAGTGTCTTCATAAAATGGTATCTTATTTTCCTCTTAGGAATCTTCAGAAAGTACCAACACCACCATCGAAGATGAAGATGTGAAAGGTAAGCCAAGTACAGAAGTAGAAATTGTTCTGGGCAAGGAGTTTAAGCTCAGTCTTAAAACGTTTTATTACCATTGAAGTAACTAATATTGCTTTATTTGGTACCGAGAGAGGTTCCATTCAAATTTGCTAACATCATGAATCTTGATTTGATACTAATAATCAATATAGTGATTTTACAGTTAAATAGGACTTATGTTTATTTGTAATATATTCAAGGATAAATTGTTAAGTCTAAAATGGATTACATTAGATTTGAAAATAGGCCAGTTGAAAACATTTTCTGGAAGTTCTAACACTTAAGCTACTTATTATTCAAGGTAACAAAACAACACATTTAGGCATTTAGATGTGTGGCGCTTTTAGTTTTAATCTTACTTGCCATAATTTACATACCTATCGTGTCCACTCTGTTTATTTATAAATTCACTTCTGTTCAGATGCCAGTCTTACTTGTTTACGGTATGCACTTCAAATATGTTTAGCATAATGTTTATTAAAAACTTTGTTTTCGAGCATCACATACATTTCATTTCAGAATATTGGGAGCACATAAGGATAATTCTTGCATTTTAACAAAACAAACTACATTTTCTGCAAAATATTATTTTAAGTGTTGCTTCTGTTTGCATTCTTCTTGCTTTATGCTTGGTGAGCTGCATTGTTAATGCTTCATTAATTCATTCTCGGGATATGAGTGTTGCAAGCGAGGCCAGAATTTATTCCCCAGGTTGATTAAAATTTCTGCCTTATGAGATTCTTACTAAAGTTTATTGCAATAATGAAATAAGCATTGTTTCATTGTCATTTGCACAGTAACCTGCAGTTCTTTACCTGACACCAGTTTGAGAGCCCCATCATCAGAATTGGAGCAATTCAATGAAAACATTAATGATCACTTCTGGATGCAGCTAGTAATGTAGAGTGTTGAAGCCTTGTCAGTGCCACACACATCTCGAGAACAATTTGCATATTTCTCAATGCATCCAGAATAATGAGATTATTAAACATCTTGCACGTCTAACAGCCTACTTTCCCTTTGACATGAGTATTGCATATTAGATTTTCCAAATGGAGTCGTCATAATCCATTCAAAATAGAAGGTTAATTTGCATCATCACGGTAAATATTGCGTTTGTTTAGTATTGTGCTTTTTGGCCCCTGAAAATGAAATCTTTTACTACCAGGAAACTAGATTTCTGCATCACTGTTATTTTAATGGCAACAATAACCTCTTATTTTAAATAGGCTATAACAATGCAAATTGGAAAATCTCATGTACAAAGTTCATTTCAGAAGGAATGGGAAGTGCTAGAGCTGGAATTTCTTTATAATTTGATGCTGATGTCCAAAGCTGAGGGGAGGTGATGGCCCAGAGGTATTATTGTTGGACTGTTAATCCAGAGACCCAGATAATGTTCTGGGGACCTGGGTTTGAATCCTACCATGGCAGATGGTGGAATTTGGATTTGATGAAAGAAAAAATCTGGAATTAAGAATCTAATGATGTCCATGATTCAATTGTCAGAGGAGGGGTGGGGGGGGGCAAGACCCCATCTGGTTCACTAATGTCCTTTAGGGAAGGAAACTGCCATCTTTGCCTGGTGTAGCCTACAGGTGACTTCAGACCCACAACAATGTTGTTGACTCTTAAGGATGAGAAATAAATGCTGGTCTAGCCAGTGACACCCTCATCCTGTGAGTGAATAAAGAAGTAAAAATATTTGTATCACCCCATTTACATTAACAAACATTTTTGTTAGTTGTGAGATTGAACTGCATATCAACCAAATTCTGCTGATGTCCAAAGCTAATTAATCTCTATGGTTGGGGTTCCACTTTCTCATTCTTCGTATGAATGTAGTTTTACTTTGTGCTCTACACCACTTCACCACATAGGAACAGAGCAGCCTGGGAACTTAGCATATTGGGTGTTTCAAGTCTGAATCAATGGGAGGAATTTTAAGTTAAATAAGCAGGCAAGTTAGTGTGTGGAAGTGGTAGGCTTGTTATTTGCTGACAAAAACTCACCTCTGAAATGGCCACTTTGAGCTTTAACCGTGGCCAGATGATGAGCAGATGATCCAACTGCTTCAGGGAAGCATGTTGAACTTGAAATGTGACCATGAACCTTCAAACCACATTCTCACTCTTTTTCAATATTAGCTCTGCTCAGCTGAGTTTTCCAAGATTCAAGGATGCTGGGAACCCAGCAGATTCAGAGGCAAGGACTTGGCAAGGTAAGAGGTGAGCGCTTTCATGCATACATCTTGGATTCAAGCAACAACAACACCAACTGATCCTCCTTGAAAGACCCTACCTCCAAGAGAAAATCACTGATCAACAACATTCTCTTGCAAATACTTTAGAAGTTCCGCCTCTGTTACTATTTTCACTTTTGCTATGTCAGCTTGTATGAGATTAACAGAAATTAACAATTATCAGTATTTTGTAGTTTTCTCATCTTTTGTTAATATGATTACAAATTTGCTCTCTAATCTTCTCACTTTTGATGACCTATAGTATGTGCCCAGTTCCGTAATAGAGTTTCTGTTCTTCCTTAATTCTAACTAAATGGATCATGTTTTTGACCCATCAAACACATCATCCCTGTCCAGTGCTACAATAGTTTATTTGAGCAATACAGCCACTAACCACTCCCTCGTTCATTTCTCATTATTGTACCTTCCCTATCTTTCCTGATTGACATGTAGCCAGGAATATCATATTCCCAATTAGACCATTTTTTTGTTCCAGACCAGAATTAGCATGTCCTATTATTATAAGTATATAACAGCCCTATATTACAACTTGTGCCTGCAGCTTACTAAATTATTTACCATATTACATTACATTACAATCTCTGACGGCATTGTGCACATGGACCTCGGCAGTTCTCAAAGATAGCTCACCACCACCTTCTTAAGGGTAATCAGGGATGGGCAGTAAATGCTGGGCCATGTCCCACAAGTGAATTTTTAAAAAAGCATACGCATTGCAAGTCTATTTTGAACTGCCTCGCATTTATCTATTTCTGAATTACTGTTTACTCTAGTGCTGTTTCCCTCTGACTGATCTGTACCTTGTTTTTCCCCTTCAATGTTTCAGCCTGATGCCTGTTACTTTGCCAGATTAATTTAAACCACACAGGCATAAATTAACCTTATTAACTAATTTCCGGTGCAGTGGAATCTAAGGACTGCCCTCCTGCGCTGTTTTCCTACTATGCATAACTCGTTTAACTCTGCTGTTCCTGCACTCACTAGTACATAGCACTGAGAATAATCCAGACATTACAAACTTGAGCCCCAACCTAGTCATATAAATGATTTGGTTGCAATAATAGGTCAGAAGATGGGAATTTTGCTGTTAGTAACTTCTCTCCCCAAAGCCTTTCGATCAAGGCATTAAGCTGGGAGTGTGATGGAGTACTCTGCCCTTGCTTGGATGAGTGCAGCTCCAACAGCAAACAAGAAGTTTGACACCATCCAGAACAGTGCAGTCCACTTGCTAACACCTTGTCCATCATTTTCTATGTTTTCTGTCTCTGTGCCTAGTACACAGTGGCAGCAGGTGTATACCATTTACAGATGTCACTGCTGCAACTTGCTGTGGTTCCTATAACAACATCTTCCAAACTCATGACTTCTTCTACCAAGAAGGACAAGGGTAACAGTCAGGTGGCAACACCACCACCACCTGCAAATTCCCCTCCCAAGTCCCATACCAACCTGATTAGGAACTGTTTTGCTTTTACTCCTCTCTTCCTGGATCAAAAATCTGGAAATTGCTTCATAACAACACTGTGTACCTGCTGCTGCCGATGGTCTGCAGTGGCTAATGTAGGTGACCCACTACCGCCATCTCAAGCGCGATTAGGGCAACACACGCAGGCCTTTCCAGCTATGCTCGTGTCTTATGAAAGAATTTGCAGAAAATTGAGGTCTGACTGTTTATGTCCTTGCTTTCTGAAAATCTGTTTTTAACTCTTTTAAAAACTCTTGTTTCTTTTCTTTTGTCATCCATTCCAACATTTTTGGTTGTCCCCATGCTGCCCCATCCCAAAACCCACCCTCAAAATATTCTGCATCCTCTGTGATATCCTTCATCCTGGCACCAGGGAGGCAACATCACGCCACACAGGACTCTCTTTGGCTTTGACAGACACTTTGCTGCACCATTCTGTTCAATCCTTTGTCCTGCTGTGCACGTGCCCAGGATTGCACTCTCCTAAAGTGTGTTAATTCCCACAATTATTTAGACCAGAAAGCATGTTTGATAGTGGTGCTGTTCTGAGGGTTTTTGCACTACCTACTGAATGCCCACAATTATCATAAACCCTCTGCAGTTGCGGCATGACTGCCTCCTTGAGCTACCACTCAAATATTTTTCAGCCAGAGAGTGGTGAATGTGTGAAACTCGTTGCTGCAGAGGCCTATGGAGTCTAAGTCACTGAGTGTCTTTAAGACAGAGATAGATAGGTTTTTGATTTGTAAGGGGACCAGGGTTACAAGGAGAAGGCGGGAGAATGGGGTTGAGAAAGATAACAGTCACAATTGAATGGTAGAGCAGACTTGATGGGCTGAATGACCTAATTCTGCTCCTATATCTTATGGTCTCATGATCATTTTGCTGAATAGCCTACCTGCTCAACTATGTTCTTTTGTATCACCTTACTCTTTTTGTGATGATTATCTATCCACGCCAGATTTTTATTTAAACCTTTCTGATCCCTTTAATTTGTTGTTATCTTCTATTTGGATTTAATTTTATCCCTTAAATCTAACTAATTATCGTTGTTGTATATTTACTGTCTAAATCTGTTTAAATTACTTATCATCCCCTTCACCCTCTGTGCTAAGTTCCTAATTGCCATTTCCTTAAGCAGATGCTCCCAGATCTGTGTACCATAAACATTTTCAATAATAACTTGCAGCATTTTTTTTTTATAAGTGCAACTTTTGTCCCAGTTTGACCTTTTTTTAAAATCAAACTTTAATC